TAAGCCACTATTTACTTTTAACTTCCTTCCCCCATAACATTCTTTTAGCCATTATAGGAAAGCTTGAGTTGCAGAGAAAGGATATGATCATCCTGCAAAAAATTAATTACAAGACAAAATATAGTGTTCATATAATGTTCATATAAAGTAAAGTTCAGTTTTGATTTTGCTATTATATCTCGGGTTGACAAGTGAACCTAACCCAACCATAAATTTTTTTTTGGGTTGGATTGGTCGAGATTATTTTTAAGAGTTATTAGAGATTAAATAATAAAACAAGTAATCATGAAATTAAATAAAAATAAGATAAATATATGTTATATAATTATATCATAAGTAAAATTGTATTTTTTAAAAAGAATTAAATGGTTTAATTATTGACATAAAAATGTTTTAAAAATTTTTAAAAACAAAAATATGCTTGTCACTACACTGAAAATGATTTGAATAAATTAATTTCTTTGATTAAAATAATAGATCAGAATATAATAATATAAAATATCTCTGAATTGATATACAAAAAAAAAAAAAAAAACAGCCATATATATTCTGTAGAATTATTAAAATAATAATAATAATAAATAATAAATAATAAATCTATCAGTTGCTCAAAACTCATCTTAAAAAAAACCGTCTCACAGAACGCTTACCCTTTTTGCTGCAATCCAATTCATCTGAAATCCATCTCAATCCTTCCGATTTCTGCAATCTTCGCGATCACTTCCTTGAAATCCGGTCGGCGATCCGGCGAAGAAGAACAACAGGCCTCACCGATCTGAAGAAGGCATCGGAGAGTCCGCTCTTCAGAACCACCGCAATCGCCGCCGTCTCCGCCCGTCTCTTCGGCAGAAAGCAACTCGAGTAAGATCTTGCCGTAGCTGAAGACGTCTGTCCGTTCATCGGCGTCGGTCATATTAATAAGTTCCGGCGCCTTGTAGCCGGAGGCGGCGGAAACTTTGAGCATTTCTCGAGTTGCGGCGGCGTTGAGGAGGAGATGGAGGCCGAAATCGGAGACGTGCGGCTCAAAGTTTGAATCGAGAAGAATGTTCTTGGATTTGAGATTTCCATGAGGTATTGGTTTCTGTAATCCGTTGTGGAGATGATCTAGGGCTCTTGCGATTCCGAGGGAGATTTTGTTAATGACCTCCCAATTTTTTGACTCTGATTCTCGTTCTGTTCAATCACAAGTGAAACAATTGAAATTATTAGGAAAATAGAAACTTTAGGTAATTTGTAGAATATTTTATTTCTTGAAGAGAAAATACATAAATTTGCAAAACAACATGAAAAATCTTTATTTAAAAAAAAAATTATAGTTCATGTAAAATATATAGTAAATTAAACCTAAAAAATGGATTAAAATATATTATTTTAACACAAAAACAAAACATTTATTAAAAGGTATGTAAACTTTCCACCATGGACTGGTTTTAAATTCTTGAGGAGAAGTGCCGGAGGGAAAGTCCAAAAATAATATCGGTTAGCTGTGGATTTTGACAGTCACTTATGGTATCATATCTAGACATTTGATGGTGCCCCAAGGGGTGGATTGTGAGATAGGTTAAGTCTAAAGAAAACAATATCTACCAGCGGTACGCTTGAGCCGTTACAAATGGTATCACAGCTAGACACTCGGCGGTGTGCCATGACGTTTGGCCTCAAGGGGGTAGATTCTGAAATCCCACATTGGAGAGGGAACTATCACAGCTAGACACTGGGCGGTGTGCCATGACGTTTGGCCTCAAGGGGATAGATTCTGAAATCCCACATTGGAGAGGGAACTATCACAGCTAGACACTGGGCAGTGTGCCATGACGTTTGGCCTCAAGGGGGTAGATTCTGAAATCCCACATTGGAGAGGGAACTATCACAGCTAGACACTGGATGGTGTGCCATGACGTTTGGCCTCAAGGGGGTAGATTCTGAAATCCCACATTGGAGAGGGAACTATCACAGCTAGACACTGGGCAGTGTGCCATGACGTTTGGCCTCAAGGGGGTAGATTATGAAATCCCACATTGGAGAGGGAACTATCACAGCTAGACACTGGGCAGTGTGCCATGACGTTTGGCCTCAAGGGGGTAGATTCTGAAATCCCACATTGGAGAGGGAACTATGACAGCTAGACACTGGGCAGTGTGCCATGACGTTTGGCCTCAAGGGGGTAGATTCTGAAATCCCACATTGGAGAGGGAACTATCACAGCTAGACACTGGGCAGTGTGCCATGACGTTTGGCCTCAAGGGGGTAGATTCTGAAATCCCACCTTGGAGAGGGAACTAAACATTTCTATAAGCCGAACAATATCTACTAGCAGCGGACTTGTACTGTTACAAACAAGATCATAGTCAGACATCGAATTGTGTGTCCAAATGTTTAGCCCCAAGTAGGTGGATGGTGAGATCTCACGTTAGAGAGCTGGAATCAAACTATTTTTATAAGAGTGTGGAAACCTCTCCTAGACATTTAAAACCTGAAGGAGGAGAGACAAATAAAAAGGCACCGCTGGACGAACCAGAATGGTCACCATCTCTGATTTCCCTATTGACCAAAACGCCCACAGCCACCAAAAACCGACAACAAATCTGGTTGCCGACATCCCACTCCAAATTAAACTCCATTTTCCCTTCCACTTTCTCGAGAAACAAACAGAAAATCTCACACCAAAAATTTCAAACATACCTCTAATCAACTCCGCCAAATTCCCCTGCCCATAAAACGGGTGAACCAGAAGCCTCTCACCCCTCCCGCCGGCGTAGAATCCCAGCATCGGCACTAAATTCCTATGCCTAATCGAACCCAGAAACCGAACGACGTCGTACTCTCCTCCACCGGCACCCGGCCGGAGGAATCTAAGTAGCCGGGTCGCTTGGGTGCTCTGTAACGAAGCTTTGTACAGAGTTCCATAGTGGGATTTGCCAATCACTTCCCCCGGAGCTTCAAGAATCTCATCGATCGTCAAATCCTCGCCACCCTCAAAAGTTGCCAGCGACGGCGGCGACGGCGGCGGCGTGTGTTCCTTTTTGTTGTGTTCGTCGTTGCAGGGCCTCTCGACGTCGTGTCGATGCTCTGTTAGTGAGAGCTTATGGCGGAAGAAGAAGAAGAAGATGGAGATTAGAAGAAGAACAAAAATGGCGGCCGAAGCTACGAGAAGCATGAATTTGAGCATGTGGGATTGTTCAAACAAATCCAAAGCTTTTTTCTTTTTAATGATTGGATCTTCAAAACTTCTTTTCTTTGAGTTTGAAAGATTTGTGCAGAAGAACAGAGTGAAATACTATACTTTGCGTGCGCAGCAGGGGAATACATCCCATCCAGCCAAGAATGTGGACCCCACTCCTTTATTTTAAAATCTCAATAATATTTTAAATCTTTCAAATAAATCTAAAAAAAAAGTTTTAAATTAAAAAAACATTTCAAAAATATCTTTTTAACTTTTAAAAATATTTAAGTTTGAATGATGATATTGAATTTTTTTTATTGGCAGTGCCGGTCATGTTAGATGAACACGACTCACAATGGTATGATATTGTCCACTTTGAGCATAAGCTCTCAGTGTCTATGTATTGATCGTAAGAACTTTTTTGAACTTATAATTGTTAACAATTACCATTGATAAGTCATATATAGAGCGGTATTATTTTAGGTTGTTTGAGTTTGCTAGAATTGTGTTCTTGAGTATCTAGAGATACTCGTAGAATAAATTTCTTAAGCTTAGCTTGCGTCGTGGAAATTATCTATGATTGACGTGAGCTACGTTCGTTAAAAGTATTATTTTGTTTACGCTTTTGAAAAACATACTAGAAAAGAGATCGTACCCGAAAAAAGAACCTTTGGAGATAAAGAGGGGCAAAAGCTCAAATATAATTGAGAGATTGAGAGTGGTTATGTTAAAAGAATAGATAGGTCCTTCTTCAAAAGCATGAGGTAATGCTAGACTTCATCCCCACACAAGCACTTGCCTTGGAACCACTTATATTGCTGATACTCAAAGATGCTCTTTCTAAGGTGTTTTCTTTTTCTACTTTGGAGAGAATTTAAGTGGATGAATGTTCGTAAATGTTCAAGTTCATCATTAGCCGATATTGTTCTTTTTAGGTTTTCTCTTTTCGAAAATGCTTTGTTCCCCTCTTCAACCGATCTGGGATCTCAAAAAATCCACCCCCATTCGGGGCCCAACGTCCTTGCGGTTTCTCCATCCTAATGCTTTGTTTTCCTCTCCAACTAATGTGGGATCTCAAAATCCACCCCATTCGGGGCCCAATATCTTGCTGGCACTCATTTTTCTCTCCAATTGATGTGGTCCTCATGTCCTTGCATTTTCCACACCCCTATGCTTCGTTCCACTCTCCAACTAATGTGGAATCTTAAAATCCACCCCCATTCGGGGCCCTCCAATCGATGCGGTCCTCTTTGAGTTTTTCCTTGAAAGGTTTTTAAAACATTTCTTTCAGAGAAAAGTTTTCACATCCTTATAACCAATAAATATTTCGTTTCTCTCTCCAACCGATGTGCGATCTCAGAATTCACGAGAAAAGTTTCCACACCCTTATAAACAATGTTTCGTTTCCTTCTCCAATCGATGTGGGATCTCACAATTCACCTCTTCGAGGCCCAACGTCCTCAGAAAAGTTTCCACACCCTTATAAACAATGTTTTGTTTTCCTCTTCAATCGATGTGGGATCTCAGAATTCACGAGAAAAGTTTCCACACCCTTATAAACAATGTTTCGTTTCCCTCTCCAACCGATGTGGGATCTCACAATTCACCTCTTTGAGGCCCAACGTCCTCGCTGGCAATCATTCTCATATCTAATCATATGAGATCTCACGGTATCCCTAACTTGCTTCCTTTTGACTTACATGCCCCACATAAATTTATATGTTTATAAGAGATAATGATAGATGATAATGGGGTACAATGCCGGTTCGCAACGTTGATAGTTCAATACCAACTTTGAATCCACATCGAACCCATACGACGATAACAGTTTTGATCGAAATTAGACAATCATTAATGTATATACAATCCTGTAGGAGTTCTTGAACCAAGGTTTAATTGATAACAGATCGTTCATTATGTTCAGGAAATGTAATACATAGGATTTGGAAGCTTGAACGAACGAATCGATATTGACATACCCAATAAGTCACTCCATTGGTCACCGGAATTTCCGATGATTCGAAATCCTTCGTTCTCCATCTCGCTCCGCTTCTCAGATTTGTAAAGTACTGCTGGCTTCCCGTGGTCATCATCTCTCCTGAATAGGATCAGAAACATTTGGGTAAGATGATGATTACGAACCAAAATGAAAGCTTGTAATAGCTCAAGCCCACCACTAGAAGATATTATCCGTTTTGGCCCGTTACATATAGCTGTCGGCCTCACGGTTTTAAAATGCGTTTGTTAGGTAGAGGTTTCTACACTCTTGTAAGGAATGCTTCGCTTCCCTCTCCAGCTGATGTGGGATCTCACAACCCACCCCCTTAGGGGCCAGCATTCTCGCTGGTACACCGGCTCTAATACCATTTGTAAGGGCCCAAGCCCACCACTAGATGATATTATCTGCTTTGGCCTGTTACATATCGCCGTCAATCTCACGATTTTAAAACGCGCCTGCTAGGGAGATTAGCAGAGATTTCCCATTCTCCTCTACAGCCGACGTGGGAACTCACAATCCACCCCTCTTGGGGGCCCAGTGTCCTCGCTGGCACACCGCCCAGTGTCTGGCTTTGATACCATTTGTAACAACTCAAGCCACCGCTAAAAGATATTATCTGTTTTGGCCCATTACGTATCGCCATCAGACTCACAATTTTAAAACGCGTATGCTAGAGAGAAGTTTCTACACTCTTACAAGGAATGTTTTGTTCTCCTCTCCAACCGATATGGGATTACATAACGTAACTAAACAATTAAACACACAAAAGAATAAGAACCACTGCTGGTTTCAAGGCTGTCGGTGCACATCTACAAACTTTGTTTCATATCTAGATCAGTTGTTTCTACTAGTTATTGCCTTAAACTTGCTCAATGCAAAACAGAACAGTTCTTGGGCAAGTACCATACAATATTTGATATCAACAATAACAGAGGAAACATTAAACATATTGCATCGAATCACAAGATCATCAAGCTTACTGATAAACAGAACCATACTAACCTCAGTATGAGCCTATCCCAATCATTAAACCCTGCATTTATCAAATTCTGCGTTGTTGCTTCCCTCTGATACTCACTCCTTCCAGTAAGCAAAACCACCTTGAATCCTAGATCCAAAAGCTCCTTATAGAGTTCTAAACTGGGTTGAATAGCAGGTGCCATACCCATCTGGACCCAGCTATCAAACTCATCAGCTTTAAAGCCCTCCGAGCTGTGAATTTGCCAAAACAAGCCAAGTTTAATAGATATCCAGATAAATATAACCAATTCTTGAAGCTATCCGTGCCCTCCGAGCTCGAATCTATCAAACATCGTTTAAAACATGTCATATCATCATTTAGTCAATTGTACTAACAACATGTTCATTTTATTTGAACTAATTAGAACCTTTTCAATTCAGAACTAAACGAAAACAGCCCAAAAGATCCATGTAAAATTTGTAAATAAGCAATTTTCTCATCTACCTCAATATTATGCATAAAAATATATGAACACAGAATTTCAGAAGGTCCTAACAGTAGCTAAACAAGTCAATACAGTAACCCATTCTTCAAGATTCAAAGTAATTCTAAAAGAAGACAAAATACAGAAAATCTAGAACAGAGCCAATAGAATGATACCCATAACCATGTTCCGTGTAGTAAGGAAGATTAGAGAGCAAGGTCTCGTCTATGTCGAAAATCCAGACATCCTTTCCATCGCCGACCAATTTCACACTCTTGGCAAAAATCCCTGCCTCATTCGAAGCAATTTTGAGTTCAAGTTGATACGCTCGACCCGTTACGTACTGTTTCACATATTCAGTACAATTTTTCGGAATCGTTCTCCACGGATTCAAATTATTAGCCTCCACATTGAATCTCCAACTATCGCACCTTAACCTAATTTCTCCATCCACTTCCTTCAACTGATTCTCACCACTCTCAGGAGCCTCAAGAACAAGCGGTTTCAAAAGGAGATGCGAATCGAAAGCTTCATGAGCAAAAGCTAGAGAAATCAGGCAAAAGAAACAGAAGAATCGAAGAAAAGTCATCCTTAGAGGAACAGGGACGGATCAAGCGAATAAATACACAAAGATTAGCGAAATCAGAAATGGTATATGAGATCTTGAAGGGAATATTCTGGAAATCCACGAAGAGGGTTATTCTTCGTTGATTGGGCGAAATGGGATTCCTGAGTTGAACATGAGTAACCTCTCTTCCTCTCCTTCAAGGTGGATTGATGATGAAGAGGAGGAGAGGGATGGATGAAGGGAACTTGCCTTGAGGATTAAGCGAAGACGATGATGAATTTACCTGAATTCTGAAATGGAAATTGGAATCTCTGTTTAATAGGCAAGTTCATCCTCCTCCATGGCTTCCTTTCCAGGAAATTTCAACCTTCAATTTTCTTTTTTTTTTTCTCTTATATTTTTTTTAATTAATTTTCCAATCATATTTCATGGCAAATAAAATATAATCAATAAATGGTCAAATCAATATCTAAACCAGGAAATTAATAAATGCTAAAATTATTATTATTATTATTATTATTTTAAATAATAATACATTAATTTAATTAGTAAGAAAGTTTTAAATAATTTTTTTCTCTAATTTCTAATAAATCTTAAATTTTGTTTCTATTAAACTTTAAATATTAAATACGATGGTAAATTATCGTCCAATAATTATATTTAAAATTTATTAAATATACAATGACTAAATTTAACGAGTAGTAGAAAATAGAGACTAAAATAATATTTTAATTTTATATTTAGTAGTTTGACTCCAAGGATAAATTACATAAATCATTAATGAATTAAAAGTTTGAATATTTATTTCTCCAACATTTTAATTATTTTATTTATTTTTTGAGTTATTTATTTGTATTTTTTTTTTCACTTTTGAGTGTAATAATATATAGATTGAAAATGGATTGATTTATATATTTTTATAATTGAATTTATGAATTATATATATATATATATATATATATATATATTAGATTTTTGTTTGTGTTTATTAGATAATTTCATGTTATTTATTTATTAATTTGGTTATAAATTTTTTTAATTTACTTCCGAATACGCATTTTTTAGTTTGATGAAATTAAATGTTTCAGATTTTTTTTTTTTGGGAAATGTTTGAGAATAAAAAGGTTAAAATTAATGGGTGACAATAATATAAGATGCAAATAAATTTAATAGTAAATTTTAATTCGCTATTTTTTAAATAATTATGTATAATAATTATATTTTAAAAAGAATTAAAATGTTATTTCTTTATATATATAACATTTAAAAGTATTAATGTTATATTTGATCCTTTAATTTTGGTTTTCATATATAAAGAAGTAAATAAATTTAATTTTCAAATATTATTTTCCTCAAAATACCTAAATATCAATTATGTACTATATTTGTTTATCCTTCTATATTTAAATCTTAAATATTTAATATCCAAATAACATGTAACAGTCTTTTTTTTTTAAATTGAATAGTCCAAATCCTTCAACCCAAAAGTAAAAAAAGTAATATAAATTCAAAATTTTAAAAAAAAAATCTTTTATTGGGCGTAATTGTTTGACATGTCAACATCATCCAACAACATCAATTTTTTTCTTTTATGAAATAAAAAAATAAAAAAATAAAAAAACATAGTGTAAATATTATGAATTTTTAAGTAACAAAGGATAAAATAATGTTTAATAACAAACTAAAAAATTTTAGTAACTAATAACAAACTTTGGGTTATATATATATATATATTTTTTTTTTTTTCTAATTTTAGAAAATTAAAAAATTTTAGTTTAGTTTGTAGGTTGAAATTATGTTTTTTCCCGTCAACCTAAAAATATAATTCTTCTTGTTTTTTTTTGAAATCAACCAGAAAAAATATAATTCTTCTTGTTTTTTTTTGAAATCAACCAGAAAATAGAACTGCAATTCAACCCTATTCTTGAAAAGATTAAAAATATTTAATATTTATAGCTGACTTATAATTAGGTAGATCAAGGTTTTTTTAGAAAGTGTCTGTTACAAAAGATAAAAAGTGTCTGTTACAAAAGATCTCTTATAAAGAATGTTTATTCTCCTCTACAACTGACATGAAATCTCACCATTCGATCTCTTATAAAGAATGTTTCTTCTCTTCTACAACTGACATGAAATCTCACAATTCACGCCTCGGAGTTAGTGTTCTATCTGTCAGTTTGAAGTGTTATAAGACAAAGTGTGTTATAACTGGTAGGTAAATTAATCGAATTATTTAAAATATTTTTTTTAAAAAAATGATTAGACAATTTGACACGACCCAAAAACACAGGGGGAGTAAAACCGTATTTATATGGTTCTATATTGTTAGGGTCACCAATTTAACCCGCCCAAATTTTATTTTGGTCGAAAAGATTTTGGAGTCCTAACCTTAAACACACACAAGACTTTCTATGTACAAATATGCTTCAACCTGTTCAAAGAAACCATTGACTTGTGATATTCCGCCACCATTATCAGTCCCCACCAACCTCTCAAAGCTTCCACTCTCAACATTCACTCTCACAATTTTCTCAAAAATCTGCAGAACAAGATATGATTCTTCGCCCACCTCAATTCCATCGACAATGGTGATCACCGAAAACTTCGGGATGAAACCAAATTCCATGTCCTCTTCAGATGGAACAATCTCTGGAAATGCAACAGAAACGCAATGAAGATCAACACGATACTTCACAAACCATCCAGAATGATCATCTTTCATTTCGTAAACATTGAACTCCAAATCTTGAGGTTTATAATTTTCAATCAGATGAAGATTTCCACCGCAACTCCCAAAATACTCCACTCTTCTCTCTTCCCAACCATCGGGAACACGAGGCATCGGCAATTCATGGAGTTTTTCTTCACGTAAATCGAAGTACAGGCAGTTCTCCCAAGCGTCGATCCAATGAACAGCGCTGTTCCAGTACACTCCGGAATCGAATCTCATGCTTGATGGAGCCGAAAATACGCCTTGGCAGGGCCTCCAGGGGCCAGATCTAGAGGAATAAATTTCGATTTCGTAGTTGTTCTTGAAGGAATCGGAGTTTCGAACGCAAATTACTTTGTAATCTGACGATCGCAAAGGATCGAATGCTAAATTGAGACCGAAAATTTTTCGCGCTTGAAGCTTGGGAAGCGTCGTGAAGTGCTTCGTGGTTGGATTGTGAACGTAATAATCTCTTTTCGATTCGTTTCCATAACTACTACTGCACAACAACAAGCCATTACAGGATTGGTTGATTACAATTCCGTATTCCTGATAGGTGAAATTAAGAGATTCGAACGGTGCCCTAGACGGATTTGCAGTCAAATTGACGAAATCGAATGCTAGGGAATCGGGGTAGGGACGGGCGAGGAAGATACCTGAAGGAATGGGCGGATTAGAAATGCTTCGACGGCGAGAGAAGCTGGGATTGGAAATTAGGGCAAGCCATCGTTTGGAGACGGATTTGAATGTTAGAAGGGATCGGATAGGTAAACGAATAAGGATCTCGAGGAAGAGATCATCGTTGTTGAGCACTGGTTCAACGGCGGCGGTGGAGGTGCGGTGGATTTTGGGGGATTTGGAGCAGAGCATTTTGTGTGATGGAGAGAATCAAACGGATTGTGGCGTGTGATGATGATGAAGGTTGGGGGAAAACGGAGGATTTAAGGAATTGGGGAAAGAAAATTGCAGAGGAAGCCATTAGAGACTCTTTCAAATCTTCCTGTGAAAGCTTTTCAATTTTGACTTCTTTTCATCTTCCAAAAATTTCGATTGAGCGACAAGATCATGATCATGCGACTCCAGATGAAGAGGAATATCGAAGATACCAATAGTCGAAGTCAAATTCATATATGAGCGAACGATCGTGTCTTTTTTTACCTTATACAGCTATACAATCTAAGATCAAGATATATTTGAACAAAAACTCACGTTTTCTTTGTTTACCTTTAAAAATTTGCGAATTCTTATGTTACCTATCTGTGGTACACGTCCAGATCCACTGCCATTCGATATTATTTTCTTTGGGCTTTCCTTCTCAGGTTTCCTCTCAAGACTTTAAAATGTCTCTACTAGGGGAGGTTTCCACACCTTTATAAATGGTAGTTTGTCCTCCTCCCCAACCAATGTGAGACATCACAATCCACCCCCTTTGAGGCCCGACATTCGCACTCTTTCCTTCCTCCGATCGATGTGGGATCGCCCCCAAATCCACTCCTCTTTGGGGCCAGCGTCCTTATTGGCACACTGAGAAGGCTACCCCCCTTCGGGGAACAGCGAGAAGGCTGGTTCGGTGTATAGTTCTGATACCATTTGTAACAACATAGATCCACCACTAGCAGATATACTGTCCTCTTTTGGCTCTTCCTTTTCGACTTCCCCTCAAGACTTTAAAATGCGTCATTACACTATCTTTTAGATAGTTACAACTATCGGGGTTTAAGTATTATTGCAGTTTTTACACGGATGAGCTTGATCACTATAATGTGAAACAAACATTTTTTAATGTTTAAATGTATCTTCCAAACCATGTAGATCTAAAATTATTAAAATTATTTTTTAAAAATTAAAGAGTATGATTGAAAATATTTTAAAGTTTCTATATAGCCTAGTTTATTTATTTATTTTTTAATTAAAATGTCAAATTGATATAACAAAATAAAAGGATAAGAATTTTAAAAAAAATTATAAAAAATTTAAAAATATTAACGATTACGAGTATTTTTGAAATTAGTTATATTATAAGTATATTTTTTAACTAGGTTTTTTTTTTAAAAAAGAAAATTAAATATGTTAATAAAATTTTTAAATAATAGAAAAAATATTCATAATTTTTTAAAGTTAAAAATATTTTTGAAATAAATTATTAATTATTTTTATCCAAAACTATTAAACTTAAAACTGAAATATATTTTAATTAATTTAGAAAAAAAGAAAAAAGTTTGGAGGGAAGCGAAAAGCGATTACCCAAATCACGATCAAAGATCGGAGACAGAGATGAAGGGGTTTATAATGGAATTCAAGTCGCCCTGTTCTTGTTCTTGGGCACAGATTTTGGAATTTCATTTCCCTCCACCATTTCGTTTCTGCCATTGATGAGAGAGAGGAGAGGGAGAGGATTAGTAGAAGAAGAAGAAGACGAAGAAGAAGATAGAGACTCGCAAACTCTCGCCCATTCAACACCATTTCGCCGTTCTTTCTGGAGTTTTGTCCTTGCCTCCTGAAGCTATGGAGTTCACTGACTCTTATAAGCAGACTGGACCCTGCTGTTTCTCTCCCAACTCCCGTTTCATCGCTGTGGCCGTCGATTATCGTCTCGTTGTTCGCGATACTCTCTCCTTCAAGGTTTCTCTCTCTCTCTCTCTCTCGATTCATTCAATTATTTGGAAATTTCCACTTGAATTATGATCTCAACATTAGGGTATTTGAGATACAGAGTTTCTTGGTATCTTAATTGAGCAGCATTGCTGAAATGTCCATTGGTTGAAGTGTTTAACCAAGTAGGATATAAATTGAACTGAAGTGAGCTGATTCGGGTGTTTTTTCTTACGAGTTTGATTTTGGATAAATCCACCTAGAAGCGTAGATCAATAAAACATCTTATTGTTCTCTTCCCCTTTTTAGGCAAAACAATTAACCAGAGTAGCTTACGATTTCCTTGCTAAATAAATTTGTTGGAGATCAGGAAGGATTTAGCCATATTTGGGGCTTATAAGGCGGGATTGGTAAAGGAAAATGCAAAACTATGAGAATGTATGAGCTCATTATGATTTTTTGGTACTGAAAAGTATTCTAATCGAGTCGCATTGACATACAGGATAATCTCTCTTTCTAGCTGTAAGTGCTTTCCTTTTCTCAAAATGCAGGATATGAACACTCTTGTGCTGCTTCTAAATTTTTATGTGCTCATAAGAGTTGTAAAATGTTGGCTAAAACCAACATAGAAACGTAAATATGAATAGGAAAAGGAAGGTTTAAGAGTATGCCCATCTTTAATAGTGATAGTAGATAATAGATTTTCAATGATACATGTAAAACTTGATGTTATTTGCTTTGATTTTCCTACGTTGACAGATAAAAGTGACACAAACGAACTTTGTAATTGCTTTATGTTCTATTCAATGGAAACTTGAGCAGTAACTTGGCGTAGTTAGGCTTAGTTTTGCATATGAAGATGATAATGTAACTTACACGATGCAATGCAGGTTGTGCACTTGTTTTCGTGTCTGGACAAGATAAGCTACATCGAATGGGCCCTCGATTCTGAATACATTCTTTGTGGTCTATATAAAAGACCAATGATACAGGCATGGTCATTGACACAACCGGAATGGACGTGCAAGATAGATGATGGTCCAGCGGGCATTGCATATGCCAGGTGGAGCCCAGACAGTCGTCACATATTGACCACATCAGATTTTCAACTACGGTTGACAGTCTGGTCCTTGGTAAATACAGCATGTGTACATGTGCAGTGGCCAAAGCATACTTCCAAGGGAGTTTCATTTACCCAAGATGGAAAATTTGCAGCAGTTTGCACTCGAAAAGATTGCAAGGATTACGTCAATCTCATTTCTTGTCATACATGGGAGATAATGGGCGTTTTTGCTGTTGATACTCTGGATCTGGCAGATATTGAATGGTCGCCAGATGATAGTTCTATTGTGGTCTGGGATTCGCCTCTTGAGTATAAGGTGATATCTTCCTGTTTTAGTCTAAATATTTACTGTAAACTCTTGGTGCATACATCTTGTCAAACATATGCATACATCTTGCATACTAAGGTTTTCTAGAATGAGCCGTACTTCCATATTATTCAGGTGAAGATTACTTTGTTAAGATCCTCTTGATGTGCTGTCTCCTTTTTTTTTATAATTTTGATTTTTTTTCTATTTCTTTCCAATTGGAGTAAATCTATGTAACATTGGTGTTCTTTGTACAACGCTAATGTTTCTTAACTCCACCACCATTTTCTTTTCACTCCTAAACTTATCGTTGTTATAATATATGTTATTAGATATAGTTGTCATTTATTGTAATTATACACTCCTTTAGATTAGGGTTTTTCTGTACACCTATATGTATGTGACTCTCTAATCATACAATTAAGTTCTTTTCCGATACCGAAGATAATCGTTTTCCTCATCAATATCTTGCTTCTAAAAATCGATCTTTCTTGGTACTCAGGCATATCATCTTGCATTTTCTCTAATTTAAGTTTTTTTTCTTTATCTTTTGTTGACATGAACATTGCTCAACTAATCAAAGCTTCCTTACCTAAATAAAGGTAGGAGGCTTAAACCCTCCACTTGTTCAACTTAAAAAAAAAATCGAAAAAGTATTCTAGTCTTTTAGTTTGCTTGAGATTATTATGGAGTAAAACCACAATTTTGAAGGCTAGAGACTAGATTTCCCTTCTTCCGTGAGAAGCCTTTTCAAGACAATACACGGCAATAAGATGTCCATGTGCCACTTCCAGAAATACTTCATCTTCTATTTATTTGGCTTGTTGGGAGCACATTGCTGATTCTCTTTAATACTGAATTAAATGAAGACGATAAAATGTGAAGCTTGGGTCGGTTTGCACAGGTTCTCATTTACTCTCCGGATGGAAGGTGCCTATTTAAGTATCAAGCATATGAAAGTGGACTTGGCGTAAAAAGTGTTTCATGGTCACCTTGTGGCCAGTTTTTAGCTGTTGGTAGTTACGATCAGATGTTGAGAGTTTTAAATCGTCTGACATGGAAGACTTTTGCTGAGTTCATTCATGTATCTACTGTTCGTGGTCCTAGTTGCACTGCTATTTTTAAGGTAGTGTTATTTTGTTTTTCCAGTTTCTGTTCTATGATTCATTTTCGCGTAAAAACGAAAGCTCATGTTTTCTCCTTCATGTTTAGGAAGTGGATGAACCGTTGCAGCTTAATATGTCAGAATTATGTCTCAGTGATGAATTTATCCAAGGGAATTCTGGTACATGTGGTTCTTTTCTCAAGTGTCCCTACATTATTTTATTGCCTATAAATTATTAGTTTCAAAATATTCAAACATTGTAAATCTCATTAGTTTACCTGCAATTCATAGACTATTTTTAGATGGGTTTTGCTCAGATCTTTCTTAATTTTTCTTGAATACGTTCTTGTATTGTTTCGGTGATTTTAGCGTGATATCTTTATCTTTTCCTTGTCAGATAAGAAAGAACATTCAAAATATAAGACCATCAGTTTTTCAACTGTTTGTATGCCTCTCTCACCTTCGTAATATAGCTATCTTTTTTTCTGAATGGCGTACTTTGCCATAAAAAACCAAGAAATGTTATAATCTTGGCCATTGACTCATCAGAACAATTGACTTCTAAATTGTCAGTCTATCACCTTTCACAAGGTTTTGAAATCAAAGCATGATGTATGAAATTAGCCCATCAATTACAGTCTCTCGTCTTTGATTTTATACTATTCAATCTTTGAACATTCGACCTACTTCATTGCTAATTGCTTTATCTTTACGTTTTTCTTATTCTCAAGAAGATTCTACCGAAGGACACTTCAGGGTGAGATATGAAGTTACAGAAATGCCCGTTACTTTGCCATTCCAGAAACCCCTTGTAGACAAACCAAACCCCAAGCAAGGCATTGGTAAGCCCTCTGTCCCCACCAAAAGAGAATACATGCTGCTTCATTTTCTGCCTTTTCAGTAGTTATAATGTGTTTCTGGGCTGTATGAGGTTGTGTGAAATATGGTACGAGAGTAAAACCTCAGGTAGTAACCGAATCTTTCTAGTTCCTGCTCCATTTAGTGAAAAGAAAAGGTGCATGTAAAATTGTTTCCTCGTAATTAAGGTATCGCATATTGTTTAATATATGAAGCATAAATATGCATTAGCGTGTGCGCCATACTGTTAAATTCTGTATGGGATTATCATTTCGTTGTTAACAATAAGGTGTATGTCATTAGCTGTGAGATCCCACGTCGTTTGGAGAAGGGAACGAAGCATTCTTTACAAGAGTGTGGAAACCTCTCCCTAGCAGATGCGTAGCTGTGAGATCTCACATCGTTCGGAGAGAGGAACGAAGCATTCTTTACAAGAGTGTGGAAACCTCTCCCTAGTAGATGCGTTTTAGAAACTTTAAGGGGAAACCTGAAAGAAAAAGCCCAAAGAGGACAATATCTGCTAGCGGTTTTTATGATAGTTTATATTACAGGTCTCATGCTATGGAGCAAGGATAGCCAATACATCTGTACACGCAATGATAGCATGCCAACTGCACTTTGGATTTGGGACATTCACCATCTAGAACTGGCAGCCATCTTGGTGCAGAAAGATCCAATCCGAGCAGCAGCTTGGGACCCGACATGCACACGTCTTACTCTCTGTACCGGTAGCCCACATCTGTACATGTGGACTCCCGCAGGCGCTTACTGTGTCAATATCCCTCTATCGGAGTTCGCCATAACGGACCTGAAATGGAATTCAGATGGTAGCTGTCTTCTTCTGAAGGACAAAGAGTCGTTCTGTTGTGCTGCTGTGCCTGTTCTACCAGAATCCAGTGATTATAGTTCAGATGAGTAACGGTGTTTCCTTCTGAAATGGTGTACCTATATCAGAATTTGGAAGGTGTAATTAGTATGAAGATGAACCTCTCATTTGTTGTAACTGAGACACCATTTTAGCTTAGGCTTTGTAGTAATTAGTACGAAGTAATTAATGTGTACTTATTTCTTTTTTCTTTTGTTTTCCTCTCGACCCGATGAACACTTCCAATACCTCACCATATTGATTTCACGGCTCTACTTTTTTTTGTAGCTTTCGATCTCTTGCACGATTTACTCGAAAAAAAAACCTGATCTTGCTTGCTCCTCTTTTTCAATTTTAAAGAAATAGATTGAGTGAGAACTTGACCTTTATCAGAGTCTTTATTAATGCACTACCTAAAACTGACTTAAAGTGTCGGAGCGTCTAACTATGAAAAACCCGTAGGACTAAGCTCTCCAGAATATGCTAACTTGCATTTGAAATCGTTTTTAAAATTATCGACAATAAAAAATAATTTAAAATTGTGACTAAAATTAAATTTTATGGGTGTAACACGATTTCAATTTTATAATAATTTATTTTTCTATAAAAAAGATTAAATTGATTTATGTTTGAAGACTAAATTGAGCAATTTTAGAATCAAATTAAACCAGAATAACCAAAATTATAATTTAATATACAATTTTTTTTTATCCAAATGTAAAGATTATTTCTAAAAAAAACATTCTTAAAAGATTTAAGATAAAAGGAAATTCTTGGATTTGAGGGTATTTGTTTTCATCTCCTTCAATTTACCGTCGTCTCTCGCCTCTTCTTCCGGCCGTTACTCGGCGGCGGATCGGAATTTCCGGCATCCAAGGGAAAATTCAACTTAGCCTTTCTTCCCCTTAATTTAAATGCAGCGGAATCATAAGCCCTAGCCGCATCCACATCCGAATCGAAAGTCCCCAACCAAACTCTACTCCCTTTCCTACTCGGATCTCGGATCTCCGCCGCGAACTTCCCCCACGGCCGCCGCCGTACTCCTCTGTAACGCCTCCCGCCATCGGAACCTAAGCCCGCCTCGGGCGAGCTCGACCGCGTCGATTGTCGTTCCTGATGCCTTCTCGGATTTTGAACCGGAGACTCTTCCTCTTCCGACGGTTTCATGTACTCGAAATCTTCGAATTCGAATTTGATCGGCGGGAGCGAGAACAACGCCGGCGGTGGTGAGTGGAATTCGAATTCTAGGAGATTGAAGAAGGAATCGGAGTCTTGAAGTAGTTCCATTTTTGTGAGCTTCAAATTTGGGGATGAGATAGGGTAGTATTTATAGTGGACAGAGAGATTTCTCTTCCATAGAATTATATTCTTTACCCTCGTCTTGATCTCGAGCTAATATTTTTAAAAATCTATTTTCATCTCGATCTAAGCTAAAATTCTTTGAAATGAATTTTATATAAATTTATGACCGAAAATGACACAACCAGATAGAACCTCTATATACGTTTTACTCGTGTTCGTGATGGGTATGAGTGAGAAAGTAGAGAGAGATTCGTTCCCATAAACTAAACCGAGTCGGGAGACAAAAACTATATTCCATGTCAGCACCCCTACCAAATATCCGCCCTTCCCGCTCGATTAAATTAGTATAATTACAAGAAAAATGGGAGAAAAATGAAAATTGTCCGTTATTTTTCTTATAATTATATAATGTGATTGAGCCGAGCATAGATTTTTCTTTTGTTCCCATTGACAAAACGGAGTCGGGAGACAGATTATATTCCGTGTCAGCACCCCTATCAAATTCCCATCCTTCCCGCTCGATTAAATTAGTATAATTATAAGAAAAATGGGAGAAAAATGAAAATTATCCGTTAATTTTCTTATAATTATACTAATCTGATCGAACCGAGCATAGATTTTTCTTTTGTTCCCATTAACTAAACGGAGTCGGGTGACAAAGACTGTATTCCATGTCAGCACCCCTACTAAATCCCCGCACTCCCCCGCTCGATTAGATTAATATAATTATAAGAAAAATGGGAGAAAAATGAAATTTATCCGTTATTTTTCTTATAATTATACTAATCTGATCGAGCCGAGCACAGATTTTTCCTATGACTACGTCTTCGAAATCATTTTCGCCTTACTTGACCCAAGACTCTCGGACATAACTCTCCGTTCTCCTCGCTATATCGCTATACATATACGATCACGTGATCCCGATAAAAAAAAAATAAAAAATAAAAAGTAGAAGGAAGGTTGTCCCAAACAAACGTGGGGGCTCACATGAATTAATAGCATTCCCATCCCAAGTTGCTCTTATTTAATATCATTTACGAAGCAACCGCACACGTCTTTCACTCCAAAACAAACCTCAACCTTATCTCTTCCTCTTACCATCTCCATCACCAAGTTGACTTCTTTCTCCTTCTTAATTAACAAAATTAGCGGTATACACTGATCAGATCTCGGGTTGGTTCGGTTGGTGACTCGAGCAAATTAAATAGATTTCACAACCCAACCCTCTATTTTCAAGCCCGGTTGTAACAACTCAAAACCACTGATAGTAGATATTGTCTACCTTGACCCGTTACGTATTGTCGTCTGCTAAGGAGAGGTTTCCACACTCTTATAAGAAATGTTTCGTTCCCCTCTCCAACCGATGTGAGATCTCATATGGGTTGTCGGGTTGTTTTTTTATGTCAAATGTTCTTCATTTCCTTAATAATCTTAAAATTAGGATTGGGTTTTGACCCTATTTTCGGGTTGGTCGGGTGGACCCAATAAAAATAAATCTCAACCCACGAACCTACCTGAATTTTCGTTTTTCTAAAAATTCAATCCGACCCAAACCCCCAGAAAAAGCTAACCCAACCGAACTTGTATGGTTTAGATTGAGTAATCTAGGTTGGTCAGGTTCTTGAGACATACGAACACCTCTAAATAAATATGATATTAATTTAAATATTTTACGTTTTTTTAGAAATTCACATTCTCATCGATATTTTTATGATAACCATGAATTATATGATTTGATTTGACGTAGTATTTACTTTTTATGGGGCCTATGTCTCCCGAAAAGGTCAATCTAGTCCCATCGTATAATTAAGTTTGCTTAATTATCCAAAATATACCTCAATAAAGACACCTACCGAATTTAGTTGAAGATATATTTAAATAGCGTTTTTCAATATGGTCGTTGAATAGCGTTTTTTGATTTAACGATGAAAATATCTAACTGTCGTCTTTGGGCTTTCCCGGTGTAACGGCCCAGATCCACCGCTAGCAGATATTGTCCTCTTTGGGCTTTCTCTTTCGGGTTTCCCCTCAAGGCTTTAAAACGTGTCTGCTAAGAGAAGTTTCCACACTTTTATAAATGGCGGTTTGTTCCCCTCCCCAACCAATGTGGGACATCAGACTCGAGTTTCCCCTCAAGGCTTTAAAACGCGTAGGTTTCTACACTCTTATAAAGGGTGTTTTGTTCTCCTCCCCAACCAACGTGGGACATCACAATCCACCCCTCTTTGGAGTCCAGTGTCCTCGCTGCCATTCGTTTCTTTCTCCAATCGATTTGGGACCCCCTCTAAATCCACTCCTTTTGGGGCCCAACGTCCGTACTGGCACACCGCCTCGTGTCTACCCCCTTCAGGAAACAGCGAGAAGGCTACCACATCATCCGATGTTTCATTCTAATACCATTTGTAACAACCCAAATCCACCGCTAGCATATATTATCCTCTTTGGATTTTTTCTTTCGAACTTCCCCTTATAAACAGTGTTATGTTCTTCTCCCCAATTAGGACATGACAGAAATCGAAAGTTTAGGGACTTATTAGATAAAATATATAAAGATGACTAAACTACCCATTTAAGTAAACGACTAGAATTGATACGATAACAATTTAATATACAAAAATTAGGAACAAAAATGATATTTTAAATAATCCCATAAAAAGAAAAAAAAATCAAAAGGGACAAAAGAGGAAGAAAAAGAAGAGAAATGAAAAGGATATTATTGTTTGGGGGACAATGTCTATGTCATGCAACTTGCGAGGGTTTTGGTTTTAGAAGTCAAGTTGAGAATAGACCACAAGAAAGCGACTCTCAGTACCCACAAAATTTAAACCACTCGAAACTATGGGTATCGACATAAGCGGTTTTGGCTAATCTAATATCATGCAAATGTCGACGTTTCAATTATACGAACACTCGTAGATCTATAATTTTATACTCATTGATGTTCGTTGATACATTTGATATATTTAAAAAAATGTCGAAAGTTGAGACGAGCTCAATCTCGAGCCATTCCGGCCTCCACATATATCTATCATATGCATATTTAATTTATTTTCTAATTTAGTTAAACCTCGGGAATTGTCTGTATTATTATAAATCATAATCATTGAGTACAAAACTGAGTGTTAAAAGATGTTCGTTTGGTCAATTCTTTTCGGAGCATTTTTTTTTTTAGGTAATTTATTAAAATATTTTATTAACAATTAATTAATTAATTAATTTTAGGTTATTTAATTACTGGACAAATAAAATAAATAAAGCAGTAACTATTAACTTAAATATAATTAATATTATTTTTAAATAATATTATTATTATAAGATAATCCAATGCCCAATTTTCTTATTAGGCATTCAACCTTTACAACACATCTACTAAATAAAATTAAAAATTTCCCAATTCAATAAATGAATAAAGAAATAATTTTTTTTTTTTTTAATATTATTTTTTTAATTTTTTATTCTTCTCGTCAACTTGGATAATGCTTATGTTCACCATCGCAAAGTTTTACGAGTTTTTTTTTTTTTTTTTTTTTTTTTTTTTTTTTTTTTTTTTTTTTTTTTTTTTTTTTTTTTTTTTT